GGCCATGGGGAGGGGGAGGGATAGTGGGTTTCTGTGGCCATGGGGAGGGGGAGGGGGAGGGATAGTGGGTTTCTGTGGCCATGGGTAGGGGGAGGGATAGTGGGTTTCTGTGGCCATGGGGAGGGGGAGGGATAGTGGGTTTCTGTGAGAGGGGGAGGGATAGTGGGTTTCTGTGGCCATGGGGAGGGGGAGGGCTAGTGGGTTTCTGTGGCCATGGGGAGGGGGAGGGCTAGTGGGTTTCTGTGGCCATGAGGAGGGGGAGGGATAGTGGATTTCAGTGGCCATGGGGAGGGGGAGGGATAGTGGGTTTCTGTGGGGAGGGGGAGGGATAGTGGGTTTCTGTGGGAGGGGGAGGGATAGTGGGTTTCTGTGGCCATGGGGAGGGGGAGGGATAGTGGGTTTCTGTGGCCATGGGGAGGGATAGTGGGTTTCTGTGGCCATGGGGAGGGGAGGGATAGTGGGTTTCTGTGGCCATGGGGAGGAGGGGTAGTAAATTTCAATGGCCATCAGGGAGGGGGATAATGGGTTTCATTAGCTACTGGAGAGAGGGTGGATAGTGGGTTTCAGTGACCATGGGGAGGGTGAGGGATTGTGGGTTTCAATGGCCATTGGGGAGAGGGGGTTTTTTTGGCTATGGGAAGAGGAGAAGGAATAGTGGACATCAGTTGCCGGTGGATACTTGGACATAAACACTGCATAAATGAGACCTTTGATTACTGTGTATATAGTCTTAAAGTTAACATTTGTGAACTTATAATATTTTTAATTGTTTAGCGGGTGGCTCACAGGAAAGATAAGAAGATCTAAAGCACCTCCTGATGGTAGTCGGGTATCTTTTGCAGAGTCTCATCCTGGCATTTATTATAGAGGAATGTCTCACCCAAACTACTCAGATTTTGCCAATGAACGTGTATGGAATTTACTGGATGTGATGGAACAAATTGGCACTATGCATGGTAGGAATGATAACCTTAAGTATTATCTATGCTCTCATCAGCTTATATTACCATTAACACATAGAAATATCACAATATGATAGTCATCTCTGAAAATAATATAATCACACACAATTGACCATATTCAATAAATTAATGAGTGAATCACATCCTGTCGTAGTGCATGGTTAATGAATAGGATTGGATATGTAATTGTTGCCAGACACATTAATTCTGCAACTAATGCCATTCAAATAAGTCTCCAATGTTGGACAGTATAGTGAAATATCAAATCTAATGCTCCACATTTGTTTTTAAGGTAAAACCATTGCCCAAGTTGGTCTACGTTGGTTGCTTCAAAAGGATTTCATTCCTTCTGTCATAGTTGGTTGTAAAACACTGAAACAGTTGGAAGATAATATTGGTGCAGGCAGAGGGTGGAAACTTACAAACCAACAGGTATGTAAATAATGTGGATGGCATGTTTTTGACTCCTATGTGTGATGCAGCTAGTTAGTGTGCATCTGTTCATCTGTTCCACGATATCTCAAGATCCATATATCAGTTTTTGATGAAACTTGGTGCAAAGATGGACCAATGCGAAGATTTGATTAGGTTTTGGTATAAATCCATGCATATAAATAATATAATCACAAGTTACACATTGAGACCGGTAGATATTATGGAACTCCAGTGGAAAATATAACCTGCCAAATATGTTTAGATGCTGTTGAAGATGAAACTCATTTTCTGGTAGTTTGTCCAGCATATAACCATGTTCGAAAACCATTTTTTGATCGAATTAAACGCATTGAACCACAATTCGAGTGCCTCTCGCCTATCAGTAAAATTACATATTGACTTTGGGATTATTTCAAAACATTTTTATAACTCTGTACAATACTTCAAAGTTCACAAGCTATCTAATATTTCGGATCACTGCCCTATCTCTTTGTCTTTAGCCATAAACCGAATCATCTATAATGCCCTGGAAAAAAATAATAACAAAAATAAATTGGATCCATTACCTGCAAAATATATCTGGGATGTGGATACAAAAAATAAATTCTTGGCCTCTCTGCATTACAGTGAAAAAAATGAAATTACGGAATTTCTCCTAAAACAATATAACAATGATTCGGAAACAGCTTCTTCAGCTTTTGAAAAAATCATATTATCTCTTACAGACCAAAATGTTAAAAAAATCACTCCAAAGGGTTTTAAAAAGAAAAACAAAACAATACTAAAAAAGAAAAAATGGTTTGATAATGATTGCTGGTTGCTTCACGTAGAATTAAAAAATATTTCAAAATTAGTACAGAAACATCCACTAGACCCGATCATTCGTGGTAGATACTTCAAAACAAAAAAGAAATTCAAAAATTTAATCAGGAAAAAGAAACATGCCCTAAAACAGTTAAAACTGAATGAGCTTGAAAAGTCAAAAAGTGATACATCTAAATTTTGGAAAATACTGAATGATTTAAACAAAGACAGTATAACACATTCAGATAATGAACCTATTTCACCTGAGGACTGGTTAATTTACTTTAAAAAACTGTTAAATAAAAACAACACTGTTCACTCTAATATGAAAACACATCTAGAAACTTTAAAGAAAAATGTGGACACAGTCTGAAAAAGAAAAATGTGGACAGAATCTTTAAATGGTCCTATTCAAAAAAATGAAATTAAAAAAGCAATTAGTCAATTAAAAAATAATAAGTCATCAGCAGAAGACAAAATCAGTAATGAGGTTTTTAAATGTGGTGGTTATTACCTGTCAGACGCACTACAGAAACTTTTTAACATAGTGTTCATGTCTGGCAAATTCCCTGATTCTTGGAATACTAGTCTTATTGTACCCTTGCACAAATCTGGGTCAAAATTGAACCCTTCTAATTACAGGGGAATAGCAATTTCAAGTTGTTTAGGTAAATTATTTAATAGTATTTTAAACACAAGACTAGTTTCATATCTAGAAAAAAATAATATCCTCTCGAATAAACAATTTGGATTCAGGAAAGACTGTCGGACAACAGACAATCTGTTTATCCTGAAAACTATTATTAATAAATACCTCCATCAGAACAAGGAGATCATCCATCAAGCAAATGATAAAAATAAATCGAAAACATCAAATAAAATTTATGCCTGCTTTGTATACCTCAAAAAAGCCTTTGATAGTGTTTGGCATGAAGGTCTTTTTTATAAATTGTTGAAAAATGGTGTAAACGGTAATATGTATAAAATTATAAAAGATATGTATGGTGATGTGAAATATAAGGTAAAAACAAGAAATGGTTTAACAGAATCATTTTGTTC